TTTTAAACTTTGCAAGTTTTTATATATTTTTATACTGACTTCTTGTAAATACCATGCTTCTTGCGCAAAAAAAATCTAGGCCTGATCCTAGTGAAATAAACGAAGCAACTAGGCTCTTCTCTGGTTTAGCAAACCTCGATTTTGAGCCTGGTTACAATGATCATGTGTATTTTCAATATTTGTCCAATAATAAAAATGATATTTCTCTTCTAGAAGCCTATTATCCTGAAGAGATTTATTCAAAATATATAGTCCGAGTGTCAGGAAAGGGGTTTACAGTAATTGATCATCCATCCGAAGTTTATAAGTTACCCGATACTCATGAATGCATCGATGGGAGTCTGCCTCTTTGCCTAGTTCTGGATATCGACGCAAGGCAAAAACCTGATCCCATGAATCCCAAACACCCTTCCTTAGATGAATATAAAATTTCTTGTAAAGATTTATTATCCAAAATCTTAATTGCCTGTACTGATATTCTATACTTTGATTTAAAATATCTTGTAACTTTAAATACAGCGGATATAGACGAGATCATTGAATTATATAGTTAAGTACTCTTAGCGGGGTGTGGCAATTCTGACTAAGAAGACTTACAATAATATTATTTATATATTTTTTCTCGTGCTAACTTCAATTCCTATATTAGATCTGGTCACAAGGTAACCTTTTCCGGCCTGGCCCTTCGATCACATAGTCCGGCCTCGGGGATGTAAATCACTAGTCTGAATATATTGGTCACTTTTTTTCCATATTTTTATTCTGACTATGAGCTATATAATTGCAATTAGTAGCAAGGTAAGTATGGAATATATTATCATTAACATCATTGAGGAACCCGCAATGATAGGGGCAATTGTTAGTAAAGGCTCGGCTTCTGCGCTATCTACAGAAAATATTTGGGAGGGTAGAGAATTAAGAGCAGAATGTTGTAGTTTTTTTGGAACCTGTTCACTCACTCTTTCTTTCATATTATTCGTAAGGGGAGGCTCATGCTCAGCTGATCTTTCTGGGACTACTTCATTATCTTTCTTTAATACTAAAACTCAAAGGTGAGAATTTTCCTCTATCAAATTTGATTGCGCTGAATATAATCTATCTAATTCCCATTTATATATAATATCTGTTGCCTCGATCCCCTTTTCCATACATTCTATTTGAATTTAAATCCTCCTTTACCCATCCTAATTCAAGCCTGAGAGAATTGATTTCAGATAAGTTTATTTGGGCTGGCTCCTCTAGTAAGCCTTCTACTATATTTGAACCTTGAGATATAGGCGGTGTGGAACCCACTCATTCTAGTTCTAGGTGCTTTACTTTAGCTTCCAATTCATCTATCTTAGCTTCAAGAGAAATAATTTTGACCTTATCGAGAGATGAAGCTTTCTGGGCCAAGGTCGCTTCTCCCTTCAATGATTTAATAGAAGATTTGAGCGATTTGATTTCGGCAGTGTATTTGCCTTCAAGCTCATGTTGACTCTCAGAATGAGACTTTTGTTCAGAAATAAGTTGGGATCTAACTTTAGTGCTGGATGCATTTAATTGGCTAATCTTATTTCCAATATCACTATAGCTTCGCTGATATTTCTTTTCCTGCTCATTGTATTTATCTACCAGCTTTTCACTAAGATCGTTAATCTCAGAGTTAAATTTGGTAACAGATCTTATTTTTTTTTCGAGCTTTTGCTCATATGCACTACCCAGCCGATGTCCCTTTTTATTGAGATCTTTCAGTGTGTACACATTGGACATAATCTTAGCATAGTTATATAGAAGGAAAAAAAAATACGTAAATAAAAATCTATTCAAACATTAATCAATAATTTGGCCTGCCTTCTCCCATATAATAACAAACGTTCTCCAATAAATATCGCTTTTTATCATTCTTTACTATTCTAAAACAATAAATAATGTTTTTTGTCATCCTAAAACAATAAATAATATTTTTTATCATTCTTTGTTATCCTAAAACAATAAATAATATTTTTTATCACTTTTTATTGTTCTAAAATATTGCTAAAAATACTGGAGGATTAATGCCTACCCAATTTTTAAAAACTTATTATCGACGAGGTGCCAATGTTTTAACACCGGAGAGGTCGAAGAAATCAGATGCCTTAAAAATAAGGTCACCGCGTATATAATAGTAAGAGACTACCATATCAATAAAAATCACATCTCTGATATATGAGATAATAATAAACATCTGCAACAGAGTGGTGAATATGTATTAGCTGATATGCTCCCAAAGGCATCTAGCCCCAGCGAGACTGATAGCAAGAAAAAAAAGACTGGAGGGACTAAGCCGAAAGAAAAATCTAGGTCTAAGTCCATTCGTATTTCTAAATCACCCGTTACTCAGATGCCTCCTTTAGAACTGATTCAACCATTCTCCATGAATTTAGAAAGCTCAGATATAAACAAAGAGGAATTATGCACGTCATATGAGAAGATAGTCAAAAGAAATGTAAAAAATATAGCGAATATGAAGTGTATATTAGAAAAATAACTTATCTATTCCTCTACCAACCTTCGGCAAGAAGTTCATCATAGCATGCCTGTAATCTTTCACAATACTCATTGATTTCTGCATTATACTTAAGAGTGTTATATAGCATTTTTTCAAGTTCTTTATAACTCACTTTTTTTTTAATACATCATCATCCTCACTTAAATCTTGTGAAATACAGTCCAGGGTCGAGGATTCATCACATTCAAGAGTAGTGGTCGCACAATTCACCTCCAGCTTGTTCTTGACCTTATGTATAGTGACTGGGATAATATAATCTTTTCCATTGAAAGGAATCTTTAGCTCATTTGTATTCCAGTCCACTGTGCATCCATATTTCTTTAAGAGTTGGTTAGAAAATATTAACATTGGCTTATAATAATCTACAACTATAAAATCTTCATGAATAGTAAGTCCTGGAGCTAAAGTAATTGGCAAATTGCGGATAATACCAATAGATTCAATAGGAACAGTAGCAACACTACTAAGGTCATGTTTTTCAGATTTATCAATTTTACCCCTAATGCGATCAACAATATTTTTTGTTATAATTGGAGGTTTAGCTCCGAAGTCAAGAGTCATGGCTGGAATCTTCAAGCGCTTAATTTTGCACTTTATGGTCGCAATACTTGTTTTTGGCTCCTTTTTCTGAATGAAATAGATTTCCATAGAATCATCTAAGGACTCCTCCTCTAGACTAGACTCATCTAGAGATGAATCTTTAGAAGCTGAATGGGTATTGTTTTGAGATACTAACTCTGCCTCTATAGGAGCCACTATTTGTTTGGACATAATAGGATTAGATTCATGAGAAAAACGTTCAGGAAAAATTAATTTAAGCTTACTTAGAAGAACTTTACGAATAGTTTTATCTAGTAAAATGTCTCTTGGCATGGCGCTAGACTTCTGTTTCACTTTTTTTTTGACTTAGCTATATGAACACTAAGTTCACTTTCAGAATCAGAAGAATCAGAAGAACTTGTATTAGAACTATTACTAGAAGAAGTATTGGAGGAAGTATCTAAATCTGAATCTACAGTAGCGAGATTAACCTTACCCTTTTTAGACTTCTTGCTTCTCTTTTTCTTTTTTTAAAACCGGCATTGTGACTTAATAGCTTTTTTCACAGCTTTATTTACAACTGCATTTATTGATAACTTATTCATACAATTAGCTAATTCTTCACTGGAGTCAACTTTACTCTTTTTTATTACTGGTTTTGGTAAATCAGGCTTTGGAATAGGAATAAATTCTGGAACTTCCCCAGTAATTCATTGTAAAAATCTACCAATATTTATATCTTGTATAGTCTGGTGCGTTCCTGGGGGTTGTGGTCCATAATAAGCTTTAGATGGCTGTATTGGTTGTATTTCCTGAAAAACTGATTGTGAAGAAACGGGTTGGGTTTGTGCAGGTGTCGTCATAGATTTTATCAAGTTTCTAACTTCAGTTTCGGTCATACCTGAGTAATTATCCTTTCCATGAGCTTTTTTTGAAGAGATTAAATCTGAGTTTGAATACAGGTAAGCTCCAGATAATTGTTCCACTGTAAATCTTTCAATTTCTTCAAGTTTTGAGAATAATTCATCTATGGGTTTTTCGATTCCTATACGTCGAACTTCTATTTGATTGGCTGGCGAAAGCCCACAAAGAAATTGCAATCGAATTTGTCCTTTATCAATATTAGCGAGTCTGGCCAATCTACACAATTTTGAATAGAAACGGCCAACTGGGTCACTCCCTTGGATAGTCGAACCAAAAAGTACTCGCTGTCTCTCTGCAGTAACTGTAGGATAATTGGTCTTAAACCAATATAATACTTGGCCAAGCATAATTTCAACCACAACTACAGTAGCTCCTGTATTAGCATTGGGTGCATTGGGTAAACGATCTGTTGGTCTTCCATCGGCATAAGACCAATCCTCTTCAAACACCATATGGGCTGGAATTACAACATTACCAGCTTGTCCATTTGCACGATTTAAGGCCTGTGCACCTAACTGGGATGCTGTTCGTCCTTGGACCAGAGCTAAAGTGCCCTGTTCAGTGTTATCCAGTAAATTTCTCAATTTCTAATTTTTTCTTCGAATAGTTCTTTCATACCAATCTTTTGCATCACCTCTAAGACATGTTTCAAAAAGTCCATGTACACGAACTCTATCGGCATGCCCACCAGCTACATCGATTCCGGCGGCCACGAGATATGAACGAAAAGAATTAATAAATTCCTCTGGATCTTCATCGGGATATCCATGGTAAGTTGGGGGTGCATATCCTGCCATACCTCTTCTATTGTTATTTATAGGTTGATTATTTTGAAGCGCAAAAATTTGTTGATTTAAAATTAAAATATTCTGGCGCTCTGCATGAGTTTTATTTTTCCATTTCTCATATCGGTCATAGAGTCTGTCTCTATTATATTCTAACAAACCTCTATCGGCTCTGCATCATTGTAGGTGGTGGGTATTTCGTTGATATAAGATTTGTAAGGCGGGTTCGCTTTCCTGTTATATTGTCTAACATTCTGTTTACTTGATTCTGAGCATTAGTCCGCAACTGATCATGCTCCTGCATCACTTGATCACGCTTCTGCCTGTATAAATCACGATTCCATCGTTCATTTACTAAATCCTGTTGCAGGTTAGCATATTTTCGTCAGATTGATCTTGTTGCCCTCTTAATTTGATTTTTTAAAATAGTTGGATATATTGTTGTATCATCTGGGGAGTGGTCTATAGCATCAGCTAATTCAGCTATTGTACCCATATCTAAATTTTGATTAAAATTATAAATATCTAAAGAATACTCATCAGAGTTAGATTCATTTTTGTTAATGTTCTGTGCTTCTGCATTTTGCAAAGCCTCTCTGATATTTATAAGCTCCAATCTATCTCTATATCTTAATAAGGATAATGCAAAATTTTGACAAAGCAGGTCTGTAATACGGCTTTTTTGTTGAGTTATTTTGTTAATCCTATTCATTTGATTAGTTTTTACTGTATTTATTTCTCGTTTAAGCTGTTCATTCTTATACACTAATCTGGTTGTATAATCTTGTGCTTTGGGGGTATTGCCTGCAGATTTGGATATCTCCCGTATTCTGTTTTTTAATTTTGTCTCTCGTTCATCGAATTCAGTTATTAACTCATTCTTATTCGAAATTTCTTTATCTTTCTTTTTATTTTCTTCCTCGAGTTGGTGGACGATTCTTTTTAGTTTTGAAATTTCTTTTTTTAACTCCTCTTTCTCTTCTGTAGAAACTTCGATCGTGTTATTTAACTCTTCTTCAAGAAATCTTATTCTCTTTTCCCGTATTCCAATAACTCTTTCTAAGGTATATAAACGTTGTTCGAAATTCCTATTTAATTCTGCTGATTGAGATACTACTTCATAGAGATCTTGATTATTTTGCTGTAATTCCTCCATGTTTTTTTATTTATTATATTGATTGAGAAATTGCTAAATCCATAAAAGAGAATCAGTATGGGAAAACCGGTTATTTATATTGATCCTCAGAGAGCACGTGATTTTGACTGGGATCTTACTTTGCAGAAGCTCTATTACCGACCTGAGGGCTATTATTGAACTGCTGAAAAAATGTGGGATGCTTGCAAGAAAGCCAAATATAGGTTTTCTCTTATTGAGATTAAAAATTGGCTAAACAGGCAAGCTTTGTATCAAATTCACAAGCCTCGACCAAAGTTTATTCAGTATGCTTCTTTTAATGATATACAAGATCTAAATAATATGCATCAATCCGATACTACTCCCATGTCTCATGATAAAGTAGATAATCGAATTTATAAGCATAGGCTTGTAATAAAAGATGTAGCTACTAGATTTCGTTGTAGTTTTGCTTTAACCAATAAATCTTCTACACAAGTGGCTAAAGCATTTCAAAAAATTTATGATAAACCAAATTGCCCTCTTATTTGGCCAAATGTTTTAATTCTTGATAGAGGTACAGAATTTTTGGGTGAGTGTAGAGATTTATTACTTAGCCATAGTGTAAAAATTCAGTATGCTAACTCTAAACGTGGTGTAGCTATTGCTGAACATGACCATCAAGAATTTGAAAAGCATGCTTATTTTCGTCAAGATGCAGAAGATTTTCATTTATCTTTAACTTATAGATCTAGATCATGGGTTAAGGGTCTTCGTATAAATGACAATATTTATAATAATACTCCTACCCGATTGATAGGTATGTCTCCTAATGAAGCTGTAAAACAAGTATTAAAAGGAAAA